CAAGATATCATTCCGTGAACATCTTCGTATTGCATGTTTAACGCCTGCAACCGTTCATATGGACTGTGCATCGTGTAATAGCTTTAGAATTCAGTTTTCTTTTCGATGGCATAAATTTGATCTGTATTTGAGTGCCATGAAAGTCTGATCAAAAAATCCAAAAATCACGATAAAAACATCAAAATATTCAGTTTGTGATTGCATTAATGATACTGCAACGTAGGAGCGCATCCGACTGACGATCGGTCGGAAAAATCCGAAAAATTTTGGTCGGAATTCCGACATTCGGATTCCAATCGCACAATTCGAAAGGCCGGTTGGAAATCCGAAGGTCGGAATGTTGAAATGTGAATTCGATCGGACTCCAACCGAATGATTAAGACAATAATCGATCGGAATTCCGACTGTCGAAATGTTGAAAAGTCAGGTCGGTCGGATTGCGACGGATATGAAATATCAGTGAGATGCCGTGACTGGTGCAACGTTACCTTTGATAACGGCTCAGTTTTGATGAAAACATTCGCAAGAAACTGCACAATTTCCTCAGTGTCGGCAGGTGTCGCTCGGCTAATCACAAATCTTTCATTACGTGTAGCGTATATGGTTTTGTGATGATCGCATGCCAGTCCTATGAAACACTTTTCGATTGAGATGGATGGCTTTAACGGCGGAGAAAAGCTTTACATCATAAATTAGCGATTAAAAGTAAGTCGATTGATACTGTTTGTAAATGAGGAAGTGGTTGAGCAGAGATAATTTTTGGTCTTGCCAATGAACAATCAGCGGAAAAATTCACAGCTCATGAAGTGGCAGTTCAGAACCTTTGTTGTCACTTAAGGATCGAATGAAAGCGTGTTGAGTGATCGATGTGAAATTTGAATGTTTCGCTGGGCTGATCGTCAACAACGCCGAGTTGATCAGTCTATGCAGTCGCATCATTCTATACAAAATATTTCGACTATAACATCCACGAAGGAACAGTATTTCAGAGCGAGTACATCATTGAGCATTGAAACATTAAAGCATTAAAAGCGTTCGAAACCTCTTCAGCATACCAGCACAAATAATTCAGGTCATCATCGAAGCCCTCACACCTCACCACCAATCCAACTCTGTCATGCACAACACCAAAAACTGTTCAACAAATCATTCACACTGGAAATGCTTATCGATTAGCGTGTATAGAAAGTTGTAAAAAGAATTTGCATGAAAGGAAAGACGTGAGCCACAGCTTTGTCGTTCACTCGCAGTATCCAAATGAGAAGCACTTGGACGTGTGAACACATGTGATATTATACCTCTGAATTATTCAATTCGATTCATTACAACAAAACGAAGACATCGCTGAACTGGAATCGATAAATGTCTGTCGATTACACCCTCCGTTCACTCGTTTATCCATACAACTAACTAGAACCACTTCAAGCATATCCAATTTCTAGACGTGAATGCAAATAAATACACTTTTTCATTCCCATTCTATTTGTTATCTGTTACTTCCGTATTCTTTAAGGGGTGAATCGAATCGCCTCTAGACAAGATTAAGATTAAATGTGTCATATGGTAAGCATGCACCTTCGAACTGAAGAAAGCATTATTAGAATAATCAGTTTTTGCTGGAGACTTTCGGTGACTCGCAGTCAGGCAGGAGTTGTTTTCAAGGTTTGCTTTCAGTTGCCTGACGATACTCTCGTTTTACAACGTGACAATCATGAGTCTTTAAAATCGAATCGAGATGCAATCAAGGTTTGCAACATTACTAAACTTGTGCTGCTTGAAAGTTGTACTAAACTGTTACTTCAGTTGTAAGTGTTCAAAATGTGGAGACTGCTATCCGAATTTAAATATTATTCACATTAAATATCGCTGTATATATGTGTACATAAATACATAACAATTTGATGACAAATCACAATCAACAACAAAGAAATGACATTAACTCGAGCATTCCATACTTCTGTTGCATAACTTTTCTTCATCATGAAAATCGTTCTAACATTTTTTGCTCTTATCAGTGAATTCCGATAGATTGATCTAAAATTAAGAAAGTCCTGAGAAGATTGACGTTTGCCGTTTGTTCTCTACGAATTTGGAAAATTTGCGGTTGATTAAGACTCAAGGAGTCAGGATAGAAATGATCAGGATCTGACCTATCTATACGTGATAAGAGCAAAAGAAGCCATACAAGATATGTAAAGGGAATTAAATATCGCTGGTCAATGGGCATAATGCAGGAGTTTGAAAGTCGCAGAATTGCTCAGCATATTCACTTCGATACAATTGATTTTCATTCCGTGGGAAAACGTGGCATTTCAACAACAGATCTCACGAGAATATTCTTTTGTTTTCGAGAAACAACAATGTGAGAGCGACTGAATGGATGGGTCATTTAATGCGTTATTCAGTCATTGAATAGCATCTGTATCTGGGACTGCGTCGTGTCGTTCGAGTGAGCTTTTTCACTGAACCAAAAATACAAGCTGCCTGAGTGATGTAAGAGGATTACCTTATCTGCTTGCATCACATCTTCGATGGCTTGCACTTTTATTTTAGAATTTTTCGCATTTTCACGTGTATTTTCTCTTCAAATACTAGTCGCAAAAACCTAAGTTCGCTGAATAAGGAATTCCCTTCGGAAAAACTAAAGGTTATTATTGAGCAACTTTCAGTTCATTGAGCAATATGTGACCGAAAAATTCCGACATTGAAATGAAATAAAAGCAGATAAATGGTGATTGTTGTTTGCAAAATATGTGAAACGGAATAGCAATTTGAAGTTGATGAGTACATGCGTGAATGTACATTACCAGCCAGAGAATCAACCTCAGCCACAACTGCACATGCAATTCCCTCAGAAGTGATTTGTTTGACGACTCTTCCGCAGCAATTCGTACGCCTCGGCTCCAAGCGCCTTCCGGAAGTGATCTTCTACTGAAAGTAAAACATAAATTGAGATCAACGCATCACTCATGATCCGACTTGATAAGCACACTTCTATCAAACCGAAGTCGCTATAAAGAAGCATTGTTGCTCTAGTTGCACCAAACTTTATCTGTTCATACTTCATTATACAACAGCAACTTCGTTCTTAATTACACTCCAATCTTATTCACTTATATATTCATGTATAACATCTCATTCCGTTTCATTTAAGAATCAACTTAAAAATCATCCAGCAATGAACAACTTCGACAATGATGATAATGATCTGCTGAATCAAAAATTGGTGGACATAACAGAATGAGACCGTAAATTGGTTTATATGTATTTGTGGTGATGATATTGCAATAAGAGAATTATTGTTACATCGAAATTTTTGCAAAGAGCATCACAAAAGCGACATGACATGTGGTGATAAATAATATTTGTTATGAGATGAAACAGTTTCAAATGAGTGTATTGATTTGCTTACGATACGTTCCTTTTGAACGCGCCTCTTGCTGATAAGTTGTTCGTAACTATTGACGAACAGTGAAGCCAATATCTTATCGTTCTATGAAGAACATGCCTTTCATTGCTTCGAATTCTATTCTTACTATGTGGAAACCAATTAGAACGATAAGCAGGAGTGGCATGCGGAAGCAGTGATGGCATCCGGACGAAATTTCAGTTCGATCTGAATCCGATTCGGAATTCGTACGGAGTTTCGGAATTCTTCGGTTGGAATCCGACCGCATTCACATTTTGGGATTTCAACATTCGGAGTTCCGACCGAATTTCAAAATTGTTCGGTTGAAATCCGAATGTCGGAATCGTGACCGAACGTCGTTCGGATGCCGTCACTATGCAGAAGGTGCTGGAGTTAACTAACTTTCGATTCCGGAGTTGTTAACGATTATTTGTTGAGGAGGACTCGAGGGCGGACTTCGACGTGCCGCGTTGCATGAAGAGGGTGCCGATGATGGTGTTTGACCATTTTTGCGATTAATCACAAAGCCTGAAGGTGAACGAAACGAAAGTACGTGCATCTCCACATAGACTGCTACTACTATATAGCTGAACTTCCGATCGAAAACTCAGTCAAGTAATTAACATCAACGAACCGTTTGCTAAT